GCCCAGGGGAAGCAGATTGAAAGTCACCAGAGACAGACCAAAAAAAAAAAAGTCACCACAGACATATAGAGAAGAACCAAATTGTTTGGCATCAGGATAAGAGCTGGAGGGACAGCTTTCTCCCAGATGGAAGTGCTGGCAGAAGCCATTGTTTCTTTTCTAAGCCCTTCCCCCACAGAGCCAGCTGACAGGAGCCATATCTGAGTCTCCATAAACCTGGCTGGCACTGTTTGCCCTACCCTGGTGATTCCCTGAAGCCCCGTCCCATCCAACTTTTGGTCCCACCAAAAGTGTTTCCAGTGGTTTTGCCATATGAATGGCCTATCTTGACTCAAGCTTCAGATTTTCCTAAAATCTCTCAAACAAGCAGCACCTGGCCTCAGCAAGCCCTGTACCTCCTTCTAAGTGGCTTTAGGCGCAGCACTGGAAGTGGCTGGCCTTGGTTCACAGCTTGGCCTCCCTGGGCTTGGAGGTGCACAACAAGCAGCCATCTGCAGATCATTTTGTAGCTTATGCAGGGTGGCCCTGGGCAGAACACAGGCGGTGGCAGACCTTGGCCTGCACTTTCCAGGAGTCCCCAGAGCCAGCACACCCAGTGGACAGTTTCAGACCACGTTGAAACACCACCACCCAACCACCTCAGCATGCAACACACTCTAGGAGTGGATTCAGCGGGCACTAGAGCCCTGCTAAAGTCAGTCCTACACTTTGTGGTAGGCCCCTACACAGATGATCCTCCATGGTGGTTGGAGGTTGGTAGTCAGTGGTCATAGCCAGTCCTTGCAGGTAATCGGCCTGGGTAAATCCCTCCCATTGATGTGCCAACAGCAATCAAGGCTCAACTACAACAGGAGAGTGTACAGGTCACATGGTGGTGGGGGTGGTGGTGCACCTCTAGTACACAGCTTGAGTGACCAAGGAGGCTGTGCCACTGAACTCTACAGGACATCTACCACTTTAGGCCGTGCCACCAAGCCTGGTAGACATAACAGCTCTACCTAATACATAGCAAAATAAAAAAATCATCCAAAAATATGAGGATAGTGTAAGGAGCTTCTGGGACAACTTCAACTGTACCAACATTCGCATCATGGGGGTACCAGAGGAAAAGAGAGAGGGAGCAAAAAATTGAAAACCTATTTGAAAAAATAACAACAGAAAAGTTCCCTAACTTGGTGAAGGGAATAGACATACAAGTCCAGGAAGCACAGATAGTTCCAAACAAGATGAACCCAAAGAGACTCACACCAAGAATCATCATAATTAAAATGCCAAAAATGAAAGACAAAGAGAGAATCTTAAAAGCAGCAAGAGAAAAGCAGTTAGATACCTACAAGGAGCTCCTATAAGACTGTCAGCTGATTTCCCAATAGAAACTTTGCAGGCCAGAAGGGAGTGGCAAGAAATATTCAAAGTGATGAAAAGCAAGGACCTACAACCAAGATTACTCTCCAGCAAAGCTGTCATTTAGAATTGAAGGACAGATAAAGAGCTTCTCAGACAAGAAAAAAAACTAAAGTTCATCATTATCAAACCAGTATTATATGAAATGTTAAAGGGTCTTCTTTAAGAAGGAGGGGAAAAGGTAAAAAATATGAATAAAATGGCAATAAATACATTATGTATCAACAATTGAATCTAAATACAAAATAAGTGAACAAGCAGAACAGAAACAGACTCATTTTGATGGTTGCCAGATAGGAGGGGGGTTGGGGAATGGGCTTAAAAGGTGAAGGGATTAACAAGTACAAATTGGTTGTTACAGAATAGTCATGGGGATGTAAAGCACAGCATAGGGAATATAGTCAATAATATTCTATTAACTATGTATCGTGTCAGATGGGTGCCACATTTATTGGGATGATCACTTACTAAGTTATACAATGTCTAATCACTGANTTCTATTAACTATGTATGGTGTCAGATGGGTGCCACATTTATTGGGATGATCACTTACTAAGTTATACAATGTCTAATCACTGAAGTATACACCTGAAACTAATATAATATGTTAACTGTAGTTAAAAATAGAAAATGATAAAATGTTAAAAATAAGTAAATAAATCAATAAAGGTTAAAAAAAAAGAATAAAAGCCTATCTAAATATTAGACTATATCTTAGTAAGTATAAAATTCTTGGGTGAGATGAAACACAATTAAACATGTGAAAGCAATTGTTAATATACTGTGTTTGATGTAAAATGCAAGATTGTATTATTAAGAGTCCTGGTTGGCCTTTAGTTGAGTCAACTTACTTTACAAAGTCAATTACTAGCATAACTTGTGCAGCGGCTATAATATTTCTAAAATCTTTTCATCAACTTGTTAATTCATGTGATCAATTTAACTGGTTAACAAGGAAAGAAGGAAACTAGAAAAGATCCCAGAGAGAGAAGAGAGTCGGCAGAGTAGGAATACTTAGGTTGCAGTTGAGCAACACTGGCACTAGCACATTAAAAATTTCCAGGATGAAAGGGTTGGGGGGAAGAGATTAATTAAAGAACTTATATGCATATATGCATAACACAGGGACGCAGACAATAGTGTGGTGAAGGTCTGGGGAGAAGGCAGGAGCTGGGTGAAGGGGGGTCAATGGGAGGGAAAGGGGGTACATCTGTAATACTTTTAACAATGAAGATAAAAACACCATGGAATCTAAACAACTTAATAAACTGATGAACAGAATAGATTCAATGACATGGAAGCATAGATCAAAATGACGAATGTCAGAGGGATGGAGGAGGGCAGGTGGGTGGAGGGAGACTAACCAAAGAATTTATATGCATATATGTACAACCCAAGGACAGGGACAATGGTGGGGAGAGGGCCTGGGGAGGGGGATGGGATGGGGTGGAATGGATCATTGGGGAGAAAAAGGGATATCTGTAATATTTTAAACAAAAATAAAATTAAAACAAAACAAAACAAACACACCAAAAAAAACAAAGAACATGTAAAAGAAAAGAAAAATTCCAGGATGAAAATGTTTCAAATTACCAAAAATTTGGTTGGCTTAGAGCAAATATTTTACCTGTTTAGTTTCTAAAATTAACTCTACTTGGCCTTTAGCACTCCATATTGGTATTTTCCTGTTTTATTTACATGAGAAAATTGAGAACATTTTATTTATTTCACTACATAATTCATTGGTTACATTTTACCTCTCCTTTCTTTCCACTTGAATATTCAATTCTGCTGGAATATTCCCCGCTCCCTTGACTTTTAGGGAAAGCAACAGTATGCTTACAATGCATCCGTGATGGGCTGTGAAATGATTTTAAATCCTACACATCATACTGTCATTTAAGTAACAGCAGCCAGACACCACTCTTACAGTCCTCTCATTTTCGTTTCAAAGTTGTATTTTGTTATTGGGGTTGAAGTATGTGGTGGTGGTGGTGGGGGAGGTTATGAGTGGGCAAGGTGCTTGTAAACTTTCCTGGAAGCTTCCGCTGTCTGCAGCCTAGTTAACACCCTGACTCCGCACGAGGGCAACACACACGTCATTCAGTACCCTTCTGCTCAAATCACCCACTCTAGTTTGAAATGTTTTCAATTTACACGTACATACAGATTGTCTTTAATCTAGGCCATAATCTGTCCTATTCTCCGCCCCGTTAAAAAAGACTAAAACAACACGGAACCCCAAATTCACACTTTGTACACCCAGGAACCCTAGAACTTAATGAAAGACTGACCTCATCATAACTACCCAGTTTCGGCAGCCCGGGTCGCGCCGGCACCCTCATTTCCTCCGGCCCCACCTCCAGGCCCGCCAGCCAGAGTTCCTCGCCCCGCCCCTCTCCTCACAACTAATTGGGCGCGCCCCACCACTGGAAGGAAACAAACTGCAAGGAGCCGCCTCTCCATCAGCCGAGGCTATAGCCGGGCGTCTACACCGCCTC